AGAGGAGAACCTGCTCCCCTTGCTATCTGACCCCATTTCATCAAAGGCAACATCCTTAGCATCTTCACCCACTTGGCCGAAAGACTTTGAAGTACTGTCSACTARTGAATCTCGAGAATCTGATTTAGACTCAAGACTAGATTCACTGATTCTTGATAGCCCCATTGAGGTGCTGTTGAGTGTTATAGTYGGTGTAGTGCTTGGTTCTTTGGTTTCAAAGCTCAAATCGTACCATTCCATYGACTTRGAGGTGTCCTGCCTTGATATRGTACTAGTGTCTGATGTTTGSCGTAATAGTGGCGGTGTTGAGGCGAAGTCTACTTTATCGTCATCYCTGAGACCGTTGACAATGTCATCGGCATCTTGTTTGAAGTTGAAATCTCCACTTCCTAGAATGATAGTAAAGAAGTTGAAGAGATTTTGGTGTAATGTGAAGTTGTGGGCATGATAAGGTACTCTTATCGGCGACTTTTAAGYAAATTTAACAAATGAACAATAGTGCAGCCATGAAAAATGAAAAAATGTTAATTTAAATGAAGTACCTGTGCTTTCGGTGTCACTTGCTTGGAGCGAGATAAACTTGTTAGTTATMGGACTGTCCGTCCTAACATCAACCAACGGCTTRGAGTCAGTATCATGGAYAAGGCTACTASAGGATGAAACATGACCAGCAGAATCATTCTCTTTTGGGGTTGCAGGACCTATTARAGATGGAATTAAAACATGGACTAAGGATTCAAAATAAKGTTTCACAGCAAATTTCACTAATGACRCAATGTGCACATTAGCCTACCAGCTGCAACGACCGAAGAACCTTTCTCCTTCCCTGACTCGTTATCAGCCATTTTCTTCTCTGCTCTCTTAAAAGCACTCTGTCCCCCAGGAGAAGACTGCAGATCTTTTTTATCGCCTTCTGGAGGGCACACTTTGGTTATGTTAGCTTCAACGTTTGGTCTTTGAGCATTGGGAGTGACGGGTGCCGAAGACATCCCTGAGCCCTGACTGGGAACTTCACGTAGCATCTTTGGACTACCTGCGTTGTTTCTTTCTCTCTTTTGGTTGGTGGTGCTGTGTGTTTGCATCTTGCTCAGCCGTGCAAAGGAATCTTTTGTGAATTCAGACTTGTTTGCAAATTGATGTCTTCTTCTTTTGCGTTTCTGTTCGCTTAGTCTAGATAGTGGAAGGTCCTCAAGGTCAAGGGCATACACAGTTCTTGCCATAACTCTAGTCAGAGTTTGAAGGGTTGACTGAAATTTGAAGAATACAAGTCTAATTTTAGGTAGTGTTGTACAGCTACAGCAAAAACCCTTACATCTTGAACTCTGTCAATGTTTTCAAGTTTGCTAATGCCGATTTACACACGTTTTAGACCTACAACTGTAGTATACGATTTGCCTACAAAATTTCGTTGGTAACGTTCAAATACGCAAGACAGCCGTATACAAGTTGCACACGCAATTGCTAAACTCGCAATTTCATTGGTCATACTACYAYTTGGGAAAAATYACGTCATTTTCCTACGRCTTGTCGTTTTACGATTTTGACCCTTGCTTTAAAACCGTACTACAAGTCGTGAGTCCGGTGCGTCGGTTGTAGTCAAGTCGTAGAGGCATTTACACGGCTACAAGGCCTACATGACACTGAATCGCATCGTGTAAATCTGCCTTTAGGATTTTATTAAGATTATCTACTGAGGTTACTAACAAAATTGAACAAATGCTTTAGTTAGCAAAGWGTCTGATTGAGTATTAGTCTTTCGATCTTGATCAGCATCAATTCAAACTTACATTCCATTCAGCAATGACTTCTTCCCAATGAGTCAACGACGATAAGACTTTCATGCATTCATCCCACAGGAATGATGATATCTGAACCTTGAGATTGGCTCTTATCCATGTCACAAACAACGTCTAGAAAAACAGTGTTAAATTCTAAGCCCCCCAAAAATAGCCAATGCAACATCCACATACTATCTTATTTAACTGATTCTTCGTTTTCACTATACATGTATGTCGCAGCGGCCACCTTGGAGGAACTTCAACAAAGGATTACTCATTAGTATCTATTGTTCATTCATCCAACATGGCCGCCGGCCTTTTGAATTCAAGAAAACAGAAAAAAACTGGAATGGAATGGAATGGAATAGAATGACAGATAAAGGAAAAGAGAAGGAAAGTGTGTAAAATAATATACAGAATTTATSTAGTCTATATCCATATCAGACTACAAAGTGTGCACCATCAATACCACAACTCAATACTTGTAAATTAGGCTAATTCTATTGTTTTCTATTGTTTCATTTGCACCATTAATAAGGCCAGGTGTGGCACACTTCAGTGACTGTACCTGTAGCAAGCTGCCAGCAAGCTGACCACTRAGAGTTCTTTCTTTTTCTTGTGGGACATCTCTAGACAACAAATGTTGGGCTGCTCCAAGCAGGACAAGCAGTAATTGTTCCCTGWAGAGATTACAGTATGAGATAGTATTACACTTTTATAAAATTGTGTTAAATGTCAAAAGAACGTGGCTGTGCTGCTGCCACTTCTAAGAAATCATTTCAATTTATCATATTTAAATAAATCCCTTAATTTAGATAGTTACATAACGTTAGTAAAAATGCAATAAACTTACCAGGTTTTTGCTTCCATGGGCACTTCTAGAACAATACTTCTATAAAAGTGTATCACTCTCTTGCAGACATCAACCTTGGTAACATAAAATGATGCAACTTATTAATGCTGTAGTTTAAATTCATGCACAATTATGGGGGTAATGATCACACAGTGGATACTGTAACAAATGTGGGATTTTCAGAGATTTCAAGGAGTACAACCAAACCCTGAGAATGGATTCCTTAATGATTACATTAGATCATAACTCTACCAGTTACAAATACCTGTTTAACAAGAACTTCAAATTCTTCAGGAACCAAGAACACTTCAGCAGAATGCAGCAGGAAGAGYCTCAAATTGGCTTGTAACCCAGCTCTTACTTCCTCCCTTGGCAACRAAAAGACACTCTCCTTTTCTTTGTCAACAGCACGGCAGTAGGACCATGTTCTTCCTGGACTGGCTGGTTGCTCAGTTAACTCATCAAAGGTCAATAATGATTTTGGCGAGTCAACAGAATCCATGATGGTTGGTTCAAGCATGAACACTGGCTTCTCTGAATGGTTGAGCTGGAAATACATATAAAATGCACATTAAAAAAAATGGCCTCCTCTGTATTTCCTTTCTCTGAGTTTCCTTTGTTGCTTCAAGAGCTAAAACAAGGGGGGGGGGAGGGGGGGAGGGGGGGAGTGGAAGTACACAAGTACATGTTTTCTAATCACAGGAAGCCTAAAGAAAAAGCAAATAGTTGTGTGGACTGTGCAGGAAAGACTGTTGTTGAAATATGTTCTGCTTTACTTCTGA